GCCTGCATATTAGGTCCTACTTTGTGTTTACCATGGGTACAGAGGTATACTAATTCACCAACAGAAAGAGAGGGACTGGCATTATACAATATCCTGGCCTAAAATATGAGCCTACGGAGCGCAGAGCATGCATGATGCCGTCAAACGTTCGTAAGGCCGACGGCGCTGTCCGCACTACCGCGAGAACCTTGTTGGCTTCTTCTCCTTTCCCCAATCAAGCCTTTTCATCCAGCCATGCCCTTACGTTACCGCGCTCTCTGTTTTCATTCCTTTTGCCGGCGGATTGCCAATTCTCAGCGCCCCGCCATGAACTACTGTCCTCTAACAAGCCTCCTGCTTGCTGACTACCTCCAGATTCCCGATTGGTAAATAGTGCGGGCTCCGCAAAACCAACTCACTGTTTCCCTCACCTCCACAGCCTGCTGACATTGCATTAGTAGAAACTTCTCCATCTCTAACCTGTGTATTTCTGCTAACCCTTCCTCTCTATCTTCCCACCCTAACTCTCCGACTCCATCTCAATTCGCCGACTGCTCCAGTCTCTACTGATCGGTCGCCTGCTCTCCAACTTCCCTAGAACTACTGTGACGTTACCGGCCAAGTTTGGGTTGACTGAACGCTCTTCCGCCCTTAACTCCTGAGACTCGTCAGCTTTCCCAGTCCTTAGCAATAAAGCCTTTTCCTCCATGACCATTCCATTCCTTCTCTTGCTCTGTTTTCATTCCTTCTTCAGCCGGATTGCCAACTATAACTGTCGTGCACTGACCTGGTTGACCTCATCTAACCAGTCTGCTGCTTTCTATATGTCTGCAAACTATTGTGACGTAAACGAACTACGCCGTGCATAATCAAAGCAATATTTCCTTCACTTCGCGAGCCTTGCCAGTCTCACACATCCTTTATAAATGTAGACATTCCCTATTTAACCCAACCACTTCTGCCGACTAACCTAGTCTTGCTTGAAATATCGTCTGCTATTGCTCCTCCCAGACCTAAGACCTTTTGCGCATCTTGCGTTTACAGCTGCTCAGCTCTGGCCTGCTCCCATTGAGATCCTTGTCGATATTTACCTTTAATCCGTAAAGATTATTTCCTCCAAATGAGGTCCCTCACTGTTAGCGCTCTCCGTTTTAATTTCCAGCAACATTGTACGTCATACTCTCATAGCGCTGCGCTAATTCAGCTTCTGGTGTATAACCACCTGTTCTCGAACGTAGCTGCTTCTCTCCGGCATCACGCGGACCACTGCTGTCCAAGCGTTCCGGAGCTAGTGCTTCCATTACTACGCTCTACTTGCCACCTTTCCTATGCACCTGCTCTTTACTTTCTGTTCGATTGTACCTTACCATTAAATGTTGCTGTTTCCGCTTACTTCTACCCCAGCCACCCTGACGTTTCCCGGGATAAAGGCCCTCAAACACTGTACCATTTTAGTCCCCTTTGCCCAGTTTCTCGATTCTGATGGTTTTCAGGCTAAGGAATTATTAGCGCTTCAGCGTCATAATTCCCATTATCTACTTATCGCAGTTCTGCTCACAAGCATCCCTTCTTACCGAGTCATTGCAATTACCTTGCCTCTTGGAAGACTGCTTTACTGTCTGGCTGCCCCTCGCGTTCCATCGCAATCCGGTCAGCTTTAGCTTCAGCTAAGCTGCCACTCGCTTTCTGATGGCTGTCATCATGAATAGCCGTACGTTAGCTTAGCTGTCTACTTATACCTCTCCCCAAATACTGTACTATTTATTGAATATCGTACACACGTGTAGTTATAACGGGAATTTGACCAGGTGCTTCGCAGAACATTTACTTACTCAGTATTTGCAGTCTGTGTCACAGCAGCTAAGCGATGTAACGAACACAGCTGCAAAACATGTAAACTAATCAAAATTACATAGGCATCAGAATGACATATAGCTAGGCACCGCTGCATTCTAAAATTCTTTTGCTAGCGCTTTTTGATGCATTCCCTTCTGCCTGCTTAGGTGCCTCTAGTTAGTTGCTCGTCTTTCAAAAGATTTCCACAGTTACCACGGCCGACGCATGCTAGTTCATACTCTGGAGCAGGTTAATCCAGTCGCAATAGCCAGGTAGCTACAACACTTAAAAATTTCTCCTGGATTTGAATTTCTGCTAAATTTATTTTTCGTTCCAGCTGGAGATCATTATCGTCATCCTGGTGTATTGCCAAGTTACAGGGCCTAAGGGAATGGGTTTAGCTCTCCTCGCAAACACAGTACCACAACTTAATCACCTGGAACAGTGTGTTTACTTGGATCCCCCTGTACGACAGCTTTCTGTTACGCCGAACTTACGTTGATACGGACAGCGTTATTGCTTGGTACTGGCGCTCAAACATCTAAGTTCCGTGCTTTTCATTTATGTAGAAACGTCCTGATGCTCAAGTTAACTGGAGTCGTTCCAATGGCCTTTCGTGCGTCGCTATGATGCTCCTCCGTTTAGCTTGAACCAGTGGGTTCTGCCTCTGTCATTTCATCGAGAACATTTTGCTATTACATCTACCCGCAGCTTTACGACGGCATTTCCTGGCGTTTTCAATTGACCATGGAGAAAGTTAAAACTCAGGATGTTACCATTGAGTGAGTTAAGTTCCCAGTTTGCAGACAAAGTAATCTTTAAACGGCACTTAGTCCGGATCACAAACTAGACTGAGGAAGGTCTGTTGCACCTGGTATGGACGTACACAGCAACGAGGCGCAACTGCAGTTACCACCCGCATGACTAGTCCAATGTGGACAGCTGGGCACGAAGTCTGCACAACCCGGACAAAGTATAACAGAGAAGAAGGAATACTTTTCTAGTAACAGGAAATTTTATTCACCAGCTTCATTCAACACCAAACGCCAAGTCTCCATTTCCTCATTGACCAACTTCATTGATTAATGACCGCTCCTGTCTAAGCCATTTGGTCTGCCAACAGGGATATTTCGCAGGAAACCAACGGCGAATAACCGGGCGAAAGTTTTATTTATATGACGGGTTGCCAGCATAGGTTACTGTGCAAACCAACCTACGGCATGGTTCCAGGACTTCGTGGGGTTTCGACCGGTTAGCGTTATTATAGCAAAACTATGAATGTCCGTGGAACCACGCTGCGACGTGGCGGATTTGACGCGCCACTGCTTAAGTTCCCAGCCTACCATTTCGCGGTGGCCCAGTCAGCAGATGCATACACACAGCCTCCGCACCCACTTCAAGGAAAGGTTAATTTAACCAAGTTTCTTATAAATACTACCTTGCTGGAGCACCAGTCCCACCTGCCTTTACGTAAAAGCAATTGCACCAAACGTTTACATTTGATCCTGTGCTCGTAGATTACCACCTTGCGAACTCAAGCCGCATTTGGATTTTGCCACAACCGTTGTAACACTTATTATTTTGCTCCCCGGTGGTATCATATTCCTGGATCCCACTATTAACTGACAAAATGCTTCTTCATAACAAATATGAACCTATGGTTGTACACTTTATTAATACAAAATGGTTTACTATTCCAAACATCTAGGTTTGTGTGTATCGTTAATAACAACTTCACTGGCGTGCTTCGCTCTGTCAAGAAAATGCCAGTTGGTTGTTGATTTACCTAAGCCAGCCATCGGTAGCGCCTTGCAAGTCATTTCGTCTGCATATTTGGATGCACATTTGGCCTTGGTGGCAAAAACTACACCAGTTACGCCGCTACCCATAAGACAATGCGCGCTTTTGGAGCACTTTTTGCTATGCCACTTTTGGCGGCATTTTGGTGAAAACCCATCCAAACTGTGCTCTGTGTGTTGGCAAGAAAACGGCCAAGACATTTTCAAGGAAGTAATCCTTATGATCTAGTTTGTGTAGACACAATATACTGATCGAGCAACGAGCGCGAATCGCTAATCATTTTTTCTTAATTTCCGGAGTGGAATTGCTGTTTAAGCTGACCCTATCAACGTAACCGTACCCGGAATCGTACAAGTGTTGTAAAATACCAAAATGCATCATATAACCATTTTTGCTAAGGTGCTCCTGCACAATTATGCAAACAAAAATGTACGTTTAAGCTAACTGGTTCGCATAGTATACAAATCCCATTGTGTGGAGGTTAAATGGGCATGGGAATTTTTAATTAAAAAGAAGCTGTTTTGTTTCATAAACACTGCGGTAGGATTGTTCAATAGGCTGCGTTGGCTTTCCTCGCGTTGCAGCCATTGTACGATGGCGCGCAGGGTACCGTTCCACAGTATCGCTGTAACAAGTAAACGGTAAGCAGTCTTGAAGTGTGGTTTTATTTGCTGTTTTCGTTTCCTCCTTATTTTTACGTTTTGTCTTTCGTGTTTTTATGCAACCACCTCCAGTGAGTGTTTTCTTTATCCATCCATTAACAGCAGGATCTGCTCTCTATTGACCGTTGTGAACACGCCGTCCAGCTAGCCACGATGTGTGCATCTGGCGAACCCTCACTACATCACTGACTTCTGCTAGGTGGTTATGATGAAACCGTCCAGCCACCCACTAATTACCTCCCTTGCCTTTCATCCCACAAGGTATTTTACGAATCAGGTAAGCAGGATCACCCAGATCTCCAGAGCAAACGATTGCTACACTCCGTACAATTTCCTTCAAAAGGTTCAGTTGCTCTTCTTTGTATGAAATATCGATTTTTCTTGCCAAGTAAGTTGTGCTCATTAAAGCCCAGTGTGAGCCTTTTGCTTCATTTGGACGCATGTTATCTTAGGCGCTGACATTACGTTGGCATTTCTCTTTCCCTATGTCAGTAAACCATGTTATCATCTAATGTACTTTTTTATTTATGTAGTTTTTATTAATAATGTAGGGCGCACTAGTCATTTAAGTCATTATGGTACTTCCTGCGTATAGTAAGCTACATAATTTTAATGGCACTGATTACGATATTTTTTCAAGCTTTTTTAATAAGTGTTGAAAATGTATTTGCAAATATTTTGTCGCTTTTTTCTCTGCATTTTACGCAACCTTGTAGAACATACTGAACGGCTTTGCAGTTACCTGTACGGTGAGCAGTATGTCGAATGACCGAGCGACTACGTCGCGCATGAATAAATTGATGCCGCCTTACGAGCACAGTAACAAGGAAATTCTGCCTGCACCCTCAGTGTTGCACAAGTGAATGCTTGTTATATAACGCAGTTACGCTTTAATAGCTCTTGCAGCTGGTTAATGGTTGTGAATAGCTATTGGTTAGTGACGCTGTTACGTGTTTTAATATCTCAAAACCACGTATCCTCATTTTTCAACGCACACTGTGGCTTATAGAACCGTGGCTGTGTCACCTTTCGAGGGCTTCCAGAACGCTGATGCGGGTTCCACTTTTTATCCTTGCAGACGGCTGTCCCGGGAACGTATGGCAATGTCTGTACACCTAGGGCATTGCGGCACGTTTGTTACGTGAATTTGTGCTGAAAGCTGAGCAGGTTGTGGTGCGGGTTTTCATGGATGGTTTTCGGGCATTCATGACTTCGTGTCAAAAGGTGGCCCATTTGCCGTTAAACCATTCCAGTAATCACAATGCTGTTTCTAGACGGCTTTTACGGCGGAATGCTGAATCCTGCTACATACCTGGCTTTAAGTCCTCCGTGGCTGCTGCCCTGACAGGTATTCAGGAAAATAAGCTAATCGCGCTAACAGGAATACTGCCTGGAAATGTATCCCAAAGATTGCGCCATCTAGTGAAGGATGAGCTACCATCCTTGGCTTTCCTTGTCAATAACAATACTGAGGTTTTTATTTTAAAGTATTCAATGAATAAAAGCCTTGTGTTCAACGTATTCAGCGAACTGCACTATGGTAATACGGCTGACAAAGTGGCATTTGAATAATTATAGATTTAATTTATCATTTATTTATCACAAGCGTTCCTGTAGATGCGCTTGGAAACGTTTTATTGGATAGGGTTTGACACTTTGGCGGACAGGTAAAGCCATTGTAAATCCTCTTCAACTGCGCTGATTATCCTTGCAACGGAGCCCTCCAAAATTTCGCATACTTTCGCTGCATGTCATATGACATCTAAATGCGTTGATTTCACTTATCACCACGGTATCGTCCTCACTATGCAGTTAAATAACACCACTGAGTGATAAGGCTTTGTTTTCCTGTTCAGACATTACGTCATACGCCTGCAGGAGCTTTAAGTAACACTACGCTTGTTAATATTACGTGGCTACATGAATGAGAAACATATGCTCATTTAACCACTATGGGGTCCCAGAAGTACCACTAAGAGATACAACAGCACAGGTTGTTTATCACTATGGAACCACTTACTCCATTCGAAGTCGTTATTTGCTCAATGTAGAGGACTTTTGATTCATCCGTCGTTTAGTATATTTCAGTTACATCAAAGACTTACAGCAAGCTTAAGAGAAAAGCTTTTTGCCTTCCACGGACAAAACAATACCGATGGGACTTCCTGCGAGACGTCCTAAGTATGTATTAATAAAAGCGGCTGTACATTGCCGCAGACTTACCTGATCTAACAAGCTCTGAGGATGTACAGTCTAACGCTTCGGAGAAATGCATGCAAAAGGCGCCGGTTAAATATGCCTCTTTTATGCCCAAGTTTAGTACCAGCTTATTGCACCCACTTTCACACAGCATTGCACAACTGCAAATAAGCGCAGTAACAATTTGCCTGTCAACGCAACATGCCGCTGCACGGGTACTAATTTAGGAATGCGCACAATCCTTACACTTATTCAACAAAAGCTCAGGTATCAACTAATCATTTGTTTACACTTATTACTGGTTAGAACTGCCTTCCTGCGAACAGGTAGCTAGCCACCTAGCAATCTCACGGAAACAAAGCACGGAAACAGGCTGTAACTCACAGTGCACCTTTGCCTCCGGTTAAATTAGGAAAGCTTTCTGCTGTGATCACTCAATAGACAGCAACCAGAAACCTCTAGTACAAGTCTTCAAATGCACTTACATATACATTGCTTATTTTTCGCGAGTAAACGTATGTTCAAACAACGCGTTGCTACGAGCTGTGCTAGAGCGCAACACCACAAATACCCTCGCCCAGATGATAAATTACTCTGCGGCCGTAAAAGTCTACCTGACGAAAGTTGACACAACGTTGTCATCCGTAGTAAGTTGGTTATTATATAAACTGCGTGTTCATAGGTCTAAACCGTGAACGTTTGGGGAAGTTAGCTCTCACGCAAACACAAAAAGCACATATAGTCATGGCTTTATTCCGAACGACATAGGAAAACAGTGCCTACGCTGAGTGAAACTTGCCGCTAGCTAGCAGCTTAAATTTTGCCTCCGGAAATCGTTACTAACCACCCGTACAGTTCTTCCCGTGGATACGATTGATGAAATGAATTGGCCATTGCAAGCGTGAACATGAACCGTTCATAATGCGCGCCATTCCACTGGGTATTCTAACTATATAGCATGCTATATACTTGTTTATCGGTTTGGCATTATCTGGCGTTTGGTTAAGCCTACACGCGCAGCGCTGAGCAGGCACTATGGTGCTGGTTGAAAATGCAGCAGACCTGCTGCTGCAGTACAGCATAGTCTTGTCGCCCAGGTTTGCAAGGGCAGGGCAGTTTTATGCGGTAGCATGTAGTGCGAGATAGGTTTCGCGGAGCCGTTTAGTTGATCTGCGCTTTCTCATATCCGCTTGGTGGCAAAAAGTGAATTTTCGTGCCTATTGAACACAAAGTGTATGGAAATGTCAGCATCTGTCTATAGAGCGCTTAGTGAGTTTAGCGTAGAGACCGGAAAACCTAGAAATATGCTGACCGGGGCTTTGAAGTTTCGTGCGGGCGGACTTGTCTAGTTAAAACAATTAAGGAGACTTGATCCCGTCTAGGCCATACATAGTCTTAAGGTTTCATGCCTCATCTCTTAATGACTAAGTCGTTCTAAGGAAAATATTCCCAACCACCTTGGTCATCAATCAGATGACTGCACCCACTACCACTCACGCATACAAGTCCCTAGATCATGGACAGCTAATAAAGAAGCAAAATGTTTCCGAGAAACAAAGCATAAGCGCGGGCACACCTACCAGATAAAGCCTAGAAGTGTGCATTACCAAGTTAGCTTTTGAAGCTAATGGCATCAGCAGTGTGGTAAATAGTAGTAAAAACTAGACTTGGTGTTTGGTATACGATTGTAGAAAATAAGGGGGCGGCAATGCCTCACTTAGCATTGCTATGAAAAATAACCGAATCTCGACGTCACGCTGTTTAGTGTTAAAGTATCTCAGGATAGATCAAACTAGGAGCATAGAATATTTGGGGACCATCGCAATGATTGTCTAAACATACTAAAGTTTTAAATAGCGGAAAATCAACGCTTTTGGCTACCAAAACTGTGGAGGACATAAAACACAAAATAGCCAAACGTTGGGCAGGAAAATATAAGGTTTTGAGGCTGAATGCGTCAGGTTTAGCAAATTTTGTTGACGAAGGGCAGCTGGTCATTTAGGTACCTTGCCTTATTGGAGCTTTATACTCGGCCGTGTCTCGCAGGCACAGGTTAGCGTCACCATACAACAAGCATTTGAGCAGTTGAAGAGAAACTTTAATCCGGAGGTTGGAGCATATGTGTTTTGCTTTAGTTGTGGTGGACTGCACAGACTGTCGCTGGTGCTTGGCAATCATTACTACTCTGCTCTTTTTAAAGCAAACTAAGAGTAGTGGTAAACGTCGCACCTTTAAACAGTCGAACCGCTCGTTTCGAAGAGGATACCGGGGTCACGCTGGTTTGGGGTCAAGTTGTGTGATGGCTGTTAGCGACAGACGAAAGGGACCTATATTTATTCGGCACACTCGCAGGTGAATGTGCCTTCTGTATAGAGTGGGTGGTGAGGATTAGGGGTAATTGGCATGCACCATATGTGAGGTGATATTACATAAGCAATAGCTCAGAAATCTAGTGGGCATTTAATATACCCATTGTCTGGCATTTTTCTGTGTAAGTAGCTAAAGTGCCCATTTAACGATGAAATACTGCGAATCTTCATGCAAAATAATTTAGGTATTTGGTATTTCCGCAGGTTCGACTGCAACCTGTTGTGTAGAAGCGTAAGTGGAATTGCTGGCGTGGTTGGGTTCTAGGTATGTTTAGATTTAAAACGATACCGCTGTTGTGTATATCTTATTTAATAGCTGTGTTGGCTTCCACAAAATACTATAGGCGTGGACGTGTTTGTGTATAATATCAAATAAAACAAAGCCATTAAATTTGTTCTCCTTCGCCCTATCTTGTCAGGTTTTAAGACTTAGCAGCGTTACGCGTATGACCGTTATCAGATAGGACATCTGCAAAACACCCGCGCTGCTCAGCCCATTGCTGTTGATTGCTTTTCTTCTCTTTGCTGTCAACCAGTGCACACTAAGCTAGCCGCGTTTGAGTAGCTGATGTGCACATTGTAGCTAGCAAACCTTGCTTCGTAAGCGTTTGGAAAAGCAGTCCTATTCTAAAACGACCTAAAATAATCGCACTTGTGGTGTGATCTGCGAAAGGTAGCGAAACAAGATAGTAGTGGCCTAAGCCTTTAGTCGTATTGCTGCAGGCTTTTAGGTTCTAGCAAATAACCAGGTACCCCAGATTTAATATGCAACAAAATAGAAAAGCACTATCCCTCCTTGCTTAGAATAACTTATCCCAATGTGAGCACCCCTACCGTAGTGCCTTTAAGTGAGATATAAGTACGTCCGTCATGCAGCATTTGTCTTTTTCCTGGAAAATGTAAGCTGTTTTCCACTCATCCGTAACAGTACTGCAGGACACCATAGATTATTATTTCAAATATCACTTATATATACAACAGATAAGCGGGTTCATAAGGCTGTCTTAAACAACATCTTTTAATGCTGGTCTACGTTAGGAATGGTAACCATTTACACTGGTCGATTGCATTTTCCCTGAAGGGTAGGACCTAAGCCACGCCAACAGTGTGCTACTGAAAAAATGAAGCAAAAGAAGCCAGCGATTTGTCGAGTGGCATTTGGCTAACTGGCTACCGCATATGAAGAAAAATATTCACGGCTGATTCCGTACGGGCAGCAACC